CTTCTGTTAATGCAGCCTAGAACTGTGTTGGCTTTTTTGGCAGCTGCAGTATTTAAGTGATTTTTCCACTAGGACTCCAAAATCCCCCTCACAGTTAATACTATTGATATAGGTGCCTTCTATTCTATTCCTGGTTTTTCTTGCTTAATTGTAGAACTTTACTTTTTTCACCATTGATTTTAATTTTGTTAGATATGACCTAGTGTTCAAGTCTGTCAAGATCCTTCTGTATCTTAAGCCTATCTTCTGGAGTGTTGGCTATTTCTTCCCTCCAAGTGTCATCTGCAAATTTGATGAGTTTCCCTTCTATCTCTTCATCTAAATAATTGATGAAGATATTGAAAAGTACTGGACATAAGAAAGAGCCATGGAGTGCCCCACTGCTGCGTACTTCCCTCCATGTAGATGCAGTTCCATTGAGGTTGGTTAGCAAATTACAAATCCATCTGGTGGTGATGCTCTCTAACCCACATTTTTCTATCTTATCAAATAGTAGGTTGTGGTCTGCTTTATCAAATGCCATACTGAAGTCCAAGTAAATTATATCCATAGCATTTTGCTGGTCCATTAATTTTGTCACTTTGTCAAAGAATGCAATAAGATTTGTCTAGCATGATCTGCTTTTGACAAATCTATGTTGGCATTGTGAGTTTGCCTCTAGGTGTTGGCAGATTTGTTGCTTATCTTCTCCGGAATCATTCCAGGTAGTGATATCAGCCTGATAGGTCTGTAGTTTCCTGAATCCATTTTTCCCCTTTTTTGAAGATGAGAACTACATCAGCTCTTTTCCATTCATGTGATAGTTTCCAGGTGCTCCAGGATGTTAGAAAGATATGGTTTAGTGGTTCTGAGATCCCCTCTGCCAATTCTTTCAGAACTTGGGGTGTAATCCATCTGGTCCTGGTAATTTGAACTCATCTAGAGTGAATAGGTGTCTCTTACATTTTCTTGCTTATTTTGATTTGCATTCCTAACATGCATTTTATAGTATTTTTTAAAAATAGGTTGGATTGTTGTTTTCCTTTTGTGTAAAGACAGATGCAAAAAAAAATGAGTTAAGCAGTTCTACTTTCTCCCTGCTGCTCATAACCTTCTTGCCATTTTCTCCCATGAATGGACCAATTGTTTCCTTGACATGATGCCCACTCACTGTGGCAGATCTGGAGCACTTTTGCAAGGAAGAGTGGGCAAAGATTCCCAAGGCAAGATGTGCCATGCTGATAGGCTCCTACCCCAAAAGACTGACTGCTGTCATTAAATCAAAAGTGCTTCAACAAAGTATTAGTTTAAGGGTATGCATCTTTATACAACCACATTATTGTAAGTTTTTATTATTTATCCCCTTAAAAGATATAATTTTTTTTTCAACCAAATGGCATAGCTTATATGTTATATTAAATTAAAAGTGGGAAGAATTCTGAAATGATGTATCTTGATCTGATTTTTTTTCCAACTAAAAAATCTGACATTTTCTGGGACTTTCTATATCCACTGTAAAGAGGCAAGAACAAAAACATACCATATAAACCCACATACATCTATATAAGTAACAGATTTATTTTACAAGGCACTTTTAATTTTAAAAAGTGAAAAGTTAATGTGTTGTAAAACAAAACAGAAGCTTGTGGTATAATTTTTATTTTCAAAAATACTAGATTCACAATGATCTGAGGTATTTTGAGGTTAGGTGCCTATCTTCCCAGAAGAAAAGAAAAATAAGATGACAAAGAATAGCTATTGATGAAAAAATTATGGAGTGGTTGGTAAGGAGCATCCTTGATAGTGTGCCTTTAAAATTATGCTAGCATAGAAGCATTGTCAAAGCAACTACAGAAAGAACAAATCCCAGTGTGTTTTTGTGGCTACAGCAGGCATGGAATACTGAGACAAAAATGCCCCTAAGCATGTTTATGATAGGCAGAAAAGGGGCAGAAAACATGATGAGCAGTGAAGTGTTAGCTAGAAATGTAGCTTTACATAGTCAGAACTCTGCATAGCTTTTCCCAAAGCTTCTGTCCTCCAGTTGGTATGAATTAAAAGGTTCATCACCTCCAGCCTCTATGGCCAATGGTTAGCTGGGCTGATAGATGGATCCAGATTTCTTGAAGTCCCCAGGTTGCAGAAAGCTATATGCTGAGCAGTGGTGGGATTCAAAGTTTTTTAGTACTGGTTCTGTGGGCATGGCTTGGGAAGGATACTGTAAAATATCCATTCCTACCCCACTTCAGGGGAAGATTACTGCAAAATCCCCATTTCCTCCCAATCAGCTGGGGCTCTGGAGGCAGATAATAGATGTGGGCAGGGTCAATCAGGGGTGGTATTTACAGGTTCTCCGAACTGCCGTATTTTTTGGAGTATGAGATGCACTTTTTTCCCTCAAAAAAGAGGCTGAAAATCTGGGTGCGTCTTATACACTGAATACAGCATTTTTTGCCTCCTGAAACCCCAACCCCTTCATCAAAATGGGTGTGGCATAGCTTTATGGAGGCTTTCAGAGTGTTCCTGAGGGCTGGGAAGGACAAAAATGAGCGAAAAAACGGGCTGTTTTTTGTTCGTTTTTGGCCCCACTACACCCCCAGGAGCATTCTACAAGCCTCCTAAAGGCTATTCACGCCCTTTTTTTAAAAAAAATGGGCCTATTGCGAAAAACAGGCCATTTTGGGGAGTCTGCTAAGTGCAAAAACTTTTTAAAAAAAATTTGCCTCTTAAAAATCTTTGTGCGTCTTATACTCCAGTGCTTCTTATACTCCGAAAAATATAGTACTCAAAATTTCTGTTACCAGTTCTCCAGAACTGGTCAGAATTGCTGATTACCACCTCTGATGCTGAGGTGGAGGATCTGTGACCTTCCAGAAGTTATTCAATTACAAGTTCACACCAATTTGCCCAATAGCTCAGAAATTGCAATTAATCAAAATCACCAGAAGTATAGATTTCTCACTTCAAATTCTAAGAGGGCTTATATTTCAACTTATACTGCCTGGGATGTGTACTGTCATTGAGCTATATCTTCTCTTTAAACGAATACTTGTAGCTTTTCTTTGCCAATTCAATTCTGTCTCACACAACCACTTAATAGAAATGAACTCAGTTTGTCAACCCTGCTTTTTCTTATAGGCTGCAGCCGCAATTATGAATTGTGTCCATTCTGAAAAATGGCACTCACTCTGGGACAAAGCCACATGCAGTATGGTTGTGGGCGCACACATGTGCACACCCTTGGCACCCGACAACAAAAAGGTTAGCCATCACTGTTCTAGAACTTTATTTTTAATTTTTTCTTTGCTCTATCTCACAAAATTCTTCATAACATCACTATTTTAAATGTAACCTGCTCCTTGAAAAATATACATATTGGATATAGAAGATGGCTTTCTGTAGCACTCTTTACTCAGATTTGGGGACATTGATATATAAAGCTTATACAGAATTCTATGAACTCAAATTTTCTGGGAATGTGAATAGAATATAATTCTTTATTGGTCAAGTGTGATGGGACATCCAGGAATTTGTCTTTGGTGCATGTGCTCTCATTGTACATGAAGAAAAATAAAATACATTCATCAAGAATCATAAGATACAATACTTAGTGATAGTTAGATTACTAATAAGAAATAGAATCATACTAGGAAACAAATAAAGCAATATAAATTGTAAAGATAAAAGCAACATGGTTATAGTCTTAAGTGGGAAGAGATAGGTACTAGGAAGGATAAGAAGAATAATAGTAATACAGTATTATGGGAATTGTTTAACAGTGATGGCATTAGGGAAAAAACTGTCTTTGTGTCTAGTTGTTCTGGTGTGCAATGCCCTAGAGCGTCGTTCTGAGGGAAGAAATTGAAACAATTTATGTCCAGGATGTGAGGGATCTATATTTTCACAGCCCTCTTTTTGACTCATGCAGTATACAGGTCCTCAGTGGAAGGCAGGATGGTAGCAATTGTTATTCCTGCAGTTCTAATTATCCATTGAGGTCTGTGTGTCTTGTTTGTTTGCAGAGTTAAACCAGACAGTTATAGAAGTGAAGATGACAGACTCAATAATTCCTCTGTAGAATTGAATCAGCAGCTCCTTGGGCAGTTTGAGCTTTCTGAGTTGGTGGAGAAAGAACATTCTTTGTTGTGCTTTTTTGATGGCTTTTTAATGTTATATGCCCATTTTAAGCCTTGAGATATAATAGAATCTAGAAACTTGAAGTTCTTTTTTATTGATACTGTGTTGTATAGTATTGTAAGGGGCAGTAGTATAGGTGGGTTTCTCCTAAAATCTACCACCATTTCTATGGTTTTGAGTTTGTTTAGTTCAAGATTATTTCGTTGTAGCACTACGGCTCCAGCCATCACCATTGTTGCAGCAGCTCTTTCATCCCTCTGCTGCGACAGGGAGCCCTAGCAGAGGGATGAAAGAGTGACTTACGGCACTGGAGCCATGGGTTGCTGACACCCATCTTAGCATCTGCTGCTCTCTTTCTCTCAAACTTAGGAGCAATGCCAGCAAGAGGGTATTTTTCTCAATTTTTAAAATATTGTGTACTTTATTTATTTTATTATAAGCCATGTAGGATCAATAAATGGGTGGGTAAACAAATAAGCAATTTTTTTGCTGGATAATTATTGCTAAATGAAAGAAGAAATAGAGCCACATCTTAGCGGCAAACCTATATTTATACCTATTTGGCTCAATCTTTGTCATCTCCAGTTAAAACTACAGATTAAGAAAGAATAGTCGATAATACTCCAGATCCTAAACATTTAACACTGCAATCCTAAATAATTATGGAATTCAATTAAATAAAAGACAGCTTTAATTGAATTTTTGGGCTCTGCCAAATTCTTCCCAGATGGAAAAAAATATCACTAGTAAAATTCAACAATAGAGGAAATATTTTGAAGTGGACACATGGGACTTTCAGTAAAATTTTGAATGGTACTGGTGGAAGGAGAGATTTCTTTCACTCCCATGTAGAAATGAAACCAAGAATTAGACTCAGACAGGTGTATTTCAAGACATAAAAATATTTATTCTCTTCATACTATTCCTACATCAAAACCTAAATCAAATGTCCAAAGTAAAACTTTAATGAATGGGACTTCATACAAACAAGAAAAATGGGACTTTATACATTTGTATCTCCTGTTAACTTCAAGAGGGCAGTAAATATTCTCTTATGGAACTGTTACTGAGTTCTTTATCCTTCATGAGCCAAAAAGTATTTGGTAGTAAAGAATCACCATGCTGCCCACTGAGAGCAAGTGGGATTATTAAATCACAATTCAGTTGGAATGGAAGAGATTAAATTTTTCCCTAATCTTTCAAACAGCTCTGTATTGTTTTAGACAAAGATAAATTAACATTGGTTGCGTATCTTTTTTCTAAAAAAATAATTAAAAAATGAACACAATTGAATGGGCTTGAAATTAGGCTTTTCCAACATAGTAAATTGAGGACACGAGCACAGCTCAGTTCTCTAAGGGAAGGTATGAAGCCTCATTGAAGAATGAAGCAGGATGATCGCTTAAGAGATTTGTTCACAACAAATCTGGGATTTGCTCTTATAAAAGTGATATGCCAAAAATCTGTCTTGACTATGGGATAATAGTAGCAAGAGTGAAACAGCCTTGCTGGGAAAATGCTACTACGTGGCAGAGGAGGAACAGGTGGAACGGAGCCAAATCCAGCATAATCACATGGGATAGTTCAATACCACATCCTGTTTGGCCAATTCCAGCAACATAGGATCATCGAAGAACTTGCTGATGCTCACATCCTCACTTAGACCCTGGAGGAGAAAAAATGAATGGTGTTAATTAGATTTTTTTGGGGGGGGGAGGGGGAATAGTCTAAATTCCATTGCAGTGAAAGAACTCCAGAAATCAAGAGATAAATTGGCTTCTCATCTTACCTTCCTGCGTCTAGTTTTGATCATAAATTCTCTGGCCAGGTGGGGGGCTGGTTGTGGCTCAAGAGGTCTGATCACGATGCTTTTGTCCAGGGGATCTCCTGGCACAATCTGTAATGTCAGACACGTTTAGTAAATGCTTAGCTGAATTTCCAAGTCACTCATGACACAATGTTCAAAATCTTCACGTTGGAATATTAATAAAATAATAATTCAATGTTTACAACATGGTTCTACTGAATAAATACACACACACGTGTGTGTGGCATTAAATGAATGCTTTTTAAAGCATTCTTAAAGGGTCATATCCACATCTCAAAATTATAGATCTACCTTTAAAACATATTTCATGGATTAAACTACCTATAACTTATAGATCTCTCCTACTGTTGTAAAAATGTTTATAAATCTTTCCTTCCATTGTAGTTATAGTTAAATATAACAACCATGAAACAGGTTTGTAAAAAGCTTACTGTTCAAATTCAGAAGGAAACCTAATATTGACTTCTTAATGGCTTAGGTGATGTTAAAGAGAAAAAAAAATTAAAATGTTGAATGGAAATCCCAATGACCAAGGAGACAAACATTTCAGGGTATCCAACAGGAATCTGTTCTTCCATCTTGGCAAAATGTCTGCCCTTTCCCCATACCAAAAATAGAACTTACGTAAAATAAAGATATCAGTAACAAAAAATTCAGAATATGCTATTTGCCCTCTTTCTCTGAAAAAGCATGTGGATAATTTATCAATTAATGTACAATGTTTTACAGGGTCTCTTACATAAATCCATGGCACTTCTTTAAAGAATTCTGCTGGGAGTTTGAATAAAAAAATTGAGAATTTGGATCTTAACTTTTTCTCATTTTTTTGCTTACAATGCCTTCATATCACTTACTTGCCAGTGGTGGAAGACAGAGAGAGAGAATGCTTGTCCTTGGGTATGTGTCCTGAGGTCTGTCTCAAATCCAAATGAGTCAATAGCTGGGATAAAGGCTTTGATAGTATACAAAGGGGATCCTGGGATTGGTGCATCTTGGGTCACGTGGCCTCTGCATAAATACAAAAAAAGGAAGCAAACTCTTGATTCACATTCCCAATTGAGAGGTTATATGTTTCCTCAGTATGAAGGAAACAGAAAAGTTTTATTATATAGAAAAATTGGTGAGATATCAAAACATAGCAAGGGTGGGGGTGGGAAGAGAAGAGAACAGATCAAGTGTGATGTCTTCCTTTTCTGAAAAGGAATAAGGGAGGATGTAAATGTGTTTTGGTGAAGACAACTAGCTCATTGCCAAATACATAAACGAGGCATAAATTTCTCATCTGCCTTAAGAAAAGATACCAAATCAGAACCATCATTACAGAAAACAAAATAAAATAGAAAACAACAACTGCTACTTCTTGCTAAGAGGCAGAAACAACTGAAAACATGTTTTAATACTTGCCTATATTATTGCCATATACAACATACCTTTATTTCCAGATTGTCCCAAGCATTTCATCTTTCCTATATTGCCTGATGCAAGCTCCATCATAATGCATGATGTTGCAAAATGATATGAGAGAATTCATGATCAAAATGATGTTGCTCCAAAATGTTACTAACAATTTTCCTTTTTCCTGAGCAAAATATCCCTCCTTCTTTGTAAAAATTTTTGGAACAGTTATGGTTTTTGGTTTTGGTTGGGGATTTTAGATTCACTTTTTAATGAACTGACATTTTCCTGTTTTATTTATAGTATTCTTTTATACAAGAATATTTTATAATGGATCGAGTTTTATCTTGTTTTTATCCATTTCATCTTTAATCATGGTTTAGTTTACTTAATATACATTCTTATTGCTTTGGCTTTCTACCATTTTGTTTTTTACTACTTATAGTAGCAGTTTTAACTATTCCTGATTGATTTTGTATATTTAGTCCTCTTTATTCTCTCTCTCTCTCTCTCTCTCAGACACACACACACACAATTCAGCCGCATATAATTCAGCCAGTCCTATCCGGTTTGGGTGAACCGGTAGCGGCGGTGGCAAGCTCCGCCCTCCCACCTGGACATCATCACATCCCGTTTCTGATGTTCTGTGCATGCACAAAAGGTCCTGAGCATGTGTGGAAGGTGGCACGTGCACCCACATTTGCAAACTGGTAGCAAAGGTAAGTTGATTTCGTGTGTGTGTGTGTGTGTGTACATACAATATGTCACAGAAGTGAGTACACCCCTCACATTTTGTAAATATTTAAGTATATATCAACAATATGTAATTTTTAGGGCAGGGAGTCCTTTGTGAACACGCACTTTTAAAAAGAACTGTCTATTCCTGGACATGACTGTATCTTGAAATAGAAACAGACAAACAAACAAACAAACAATACAATTGTCAACAGACCTTCTTTCCCATTTTTTCCAGGGCAAAAATACATAGTTTCATCCTAAAGCAGCAGTGAGAAGTCAGCCTTGACAATATCAGAGATATTCAATAAAACCCTTCTTCATCCTTACATGAGAAAGGACAATCCCTCCCCTTCTTTCAACCCCTTCACCTTCTTTGTTTAGAAAGATTAAAACAAAGCTTGCTACATTATGAACAATCCGTACTTTAAATACTAAATTCCAAGAAACTATGTACCAAGTTCATCAGAGAGTATTTCAATCAGTATTATTTTAACTTTAAGATAGTTTAAAGTTGCCACTTACCTACGCCTGGCCAGGACAGTGTACACTGCAGAGACACAGTCAGCAGGAGCCTGTACCTCCACGAAGTAATATGGCTCCATTAACCGTGGTGTGGCCTGAGGAAAACATCATGCAAGAGAGTTTAGCTGGAGATAAAAGCTCTCCAAAAAAGCTCATTGTTAGTAAGGTTCTGTTTTTCCAAAACTAAATATATTTCCCATTTTCCAATAGCTACTATTGACTACAGCATTTTAAACAAATAATCAACTATTCCCACCTTGGCTTCTTTTTTCCTAAGCTTGATTTGAAAAATAGAATTGTAGTAGAGACACTATAACTGAAGCGGTTCTACTATGAAATAATTCCTGTTCTTCTAGTATATTTTCAAAAACAGGAAATAACCATCCATTAAACCTCTACAGAGAAATAATGTGTAGAACTCTAGTTAAGGTGAATTAAGTTAAACAATCTCTACTTTCAAATTATGGTTAAGGCTCCTCATACTGTCACGTCATAGTCTAAGCCTGAATAAAGAGTTAAGACTAACTAAAACGGAGCTTAGTGTGTCTTGCAAATCAAGCTCACTGAGCTAGGATAGCGCTATTTCTATGTTAGAAGTTTCTTACCATGAGGAAGGCAGAATACACCACTCGACGGGCTGTTGGAATGATCTGTCCACCTCCACGATGTAGTGGTTCCTGAGCAATAACAGCATCCAATATCTTAAATTTCACATTGCGAATTACTAGTGAAAAAGAGAACATAAAATATAGTAACAACAGGTTTGTTCATATGATTAAAAATGCAGTATTAACTTAGGAAGCCGTAAGATATCTCATGTCTACAAGTTATTCTCAAATGTACTTGTATCCCAAAATGTACACGTTTTAGATACTGGGCTCCAACAAAGCTCCAACAGTCCCTGAAACATTCATACATTGGCTCACAATCACAATTGGGACCAGAATATGTTGTTAAATGGTTGTGGTCGTATGCTGAATTGGACCCAATTCTACAACAAATTTTACAGTGGTCACTAACCAAATAACTGCAATCATTACGCAAATCTAGCTTTCCCAATGGACAATTGATGAAAAATAATAATTGGAAATAATGATTAGGATGCTGCAACTAGTTGCAGGTGTGAGTCAGTTGCCTAGTGCCCTAATTGCACTCACATAAGTATGGGGGTGCTATGATTATAATAAGTGTGAGTACAGATCACATCATTTTTTTCTTTAGCTTTGAACCTTTGTTAAATGAATGGTTATAGGCTGAGAACTATCTGTAGGCTCTTTCAGTTGCTTGAACTAACTTCTAACTCTGAATAACAAGAATCTAAAGCAATGGATCCCAATGGAGCATTCTGATCGATATTATATAATGCATAATTTCTAATTCTTTGATTCATCTGAAAAATGATAATGGTGTCAAAATAAATTTTAAAAATTTGTAACAAGTTCCCTGATAAACTCTTTCCTAAAGAAATATTGTTAACCCAAAGGTGCTGTTTCAAGAGGCAACTGGACTTTCTTGTTTTTCTTTGAAGACATTTCGCTTCTCATCCAAGAAGCTTCTTCAGCTCTGACTGGATGGTAGGGAATGAAGGATTTACACTCCTTGCAGACAGCTGATCATTTGCATTCTTTTAGAGCGTCATTGAGGCCACCTGGAGGTTTATCTGTGTCCTCAGGGTTAGCTAAGTAGTGCAAATGAGTGTGGAGCCTTCTTGGTACTGTTGAAAGAACACTGTAGTAGTCTGGAGATAGATGATGTTGTATCTCCCTCTGTTGACAGAGGACTGTTCAATTTTGGCATTGTTTGTTAAATAAATGAGGAATCTATGAATGGGCTTGAGAACATTGAGAACAGTCTTTGGCTGTCTTGAACGCTTACTTACATTCATCACATAGGGGCCCTTCCCTAGTCCCCCACTGGAAGCCTTGCACAATACTGTCCTTCACAGAACCTAAGAGTGTTTTGTCAACCTGTACAAAAGAAGCAGCAGTGTTAACAGATGGGGGAAATCAATCTATATATATTAAGCTACAATTTGGTATGCTAATTAATCTACTTAATGGATTACATTATGCATGGACCAGGTCATAAGCGGTTGGTCAACGAGCTATGGTGAAATGAAACTATGATCCACAACAAATTTTGTAAATTCAGTTTGTGTGTGTATAGCCCTAATTGGAGAAATACAGTCCCCAAAACAAGTATTACAGCACTACATTTTAGAGCTGGAACAAAGTGGTTCCAAGATCTAAAGCTCCAGATTTATTTCTTTTTCATGATACCCTATATTACTAGAAGCGTAGACCAAGATTAATTTTCCTATATCTATTCACTGTGACAGTAAGAAAAACAGTGGCTTCAGAAAGTGGAAGCTTTCAACTCCAAACCAAGAAAATTGGAGAGACTTAAAACCACATTTTGCTTGTTTGTTTAGCTCTTGTTACCATAATTTCCATACCATATTTCAGAGATATGGGATTATATATTTTGATTCAGTCCCAAAATTTTGTTTTGCAATGTCTGGCAAATCATAGCACATATCGTAACATTTTAAAGTAGACACCTCTTTTCTCAAGATTATGTGGCAGCAATAGTATGATCCAAGGGAAAGAAGCAGCTATTTTAACAAGTTTGCCGGTGAGTGCTACATCCATACTCCTCCACCTAAACATCTTTTTTTAATTAAAAAAGGCTTGTTTCTGAGTATTGCATAGCTCAATTAAATATTCCTAGATATGAATATCCATTTGGGATGCTTACCTCCCATGACATCCAAAGAGGTAAAAGTAGAAGTAAAGAAGAGTACTTATCACAAACTCTACTGTAAATACTGCACAATCCTTACCTCTGAGGGTAAGGTATCATCCACCAAGATGTTTGGTCCAGTAGCATCTGGTCCAAAAGCCCAGATAGAACGAGCTGCCAACAAATCCCAGTCATATTTTGTCTGGAAAAACTCTCCCAGCTTTTTCCTAATAAGAGATATATAAATATTTGAAGAGCAAAAAGAAGAGAACTCAAAGATCAGACAACTTAACATTTTTCTCCAACAGTGACCCTATACCATGTTTTTTTCTGACAGATATTTGTCAAGTCCTCGTTATACTTTTTCGAAGGGAAGATTGTTTTTCTTAGCAACCTGGCATAACTTCTAAACATTTTAAAGGATGGATATGTTTTCTATGGCAATGGCTTATGGACTAATTGGTTAACCAACTGCACATTTTTGAAAGAATTAAGGTGATCTTGACACAGCAAGCAAACTGCAATGGCAGACTAATGTCCATAGACATAAACATATTTTTAAAAATACAGTTGATATTTTTTTTAATGGCTCAATTTATTCACAGCAGCGTATTCATAATTCAAGTGGTAAAGCTGGGCCAGAATTAAAGAAATTATTTACTTCATGAATTCTCCCACCTTTTCAGGTCTCTAGAAAATTCATACCTGTTCCATGTTATTTGCACAACTTCATTCTCAATATCTTCAGCTAGACCCTTTTCTAGAGGCTCAGCAATCATTGTAATCTTGTTTCTGAATAAAAATATAAATGTTATTTGACTGACAAAGGAAGACATACGATAGAGTGCATATTTTCTAAAATGAAGACATTGATAAATATCAATTTGGAACTCTTTACTTGGAACTGTTCTTCTATTTGAGAGTATTATAATAAGGAAGAATCTGAATTCAATTTTTATTCATTTCTTGGAACCTGCAGGTGAACTGGGGTACTTCATCTGGTTGAAGTCTTTTAGAGTTTAAAAAAGCAGCCTGCGTGGCTTGGGCTACACACATACCTTGAGCCAATTTAAAAACACTCTGGAAACAATCACTCTAAATTATCAATCCCAATTTAGTGAGCATAGAACATGGCAAGAAAATGGAAAAGAGATGGCACCACATATTTAGTGTAACCCACTGCAAGAATGTGGCTCGCAATAGATTATCTGCAAACCAATACAGTCCTTGTTCTCTTTTTGAAAGGAATTGAAGGAGCCAAATAATAACTATTGGCAAGAGGGCTTGTGGGCATTGAAAAATATCTTACAGCTAGTCTACTTTTTTTCTAGGCAATACTTTACTGTACATTATTGAAAAACTGTAATAACTGGAGATAAAATACTTTAATCCAAAGAAGGAATGGAAATAATTACTAATTTGGACAGATGTGACGAGGGAAGATTGAAAATGGTTTTTGTAGTTCAATGTCCAAAGATACTTTTCCAAATCAACTATTTCAACTATTTCCCAATTCATTTGACAGAATTTAAAAACAGGTAACATAAATAAGTAAGCAAGGAAGTAAATAGCTTCTTGAATATTTCTAGATCATTTTGTGCAGACAACATAGCAAACACTTTAATCATACCACATTATGGCTCATTTTTAAGATTCTCATCATCAAAGATCTTACTTCTTATTGGGTGTCTCAGCAAAACACTTCAGGGAAGATGTTTCCACAACTGTCTCACAGAATGTGACCACAGGATCAGCTACCTTTGAAAAACAAATAATGAGAATGGGTAGAGAGCCAATTATCCCATTTCCTCCAACTCATTTTAAATGGGGAGAGCCAGGAAAACCTCATATTGAAGTCAAATTCAGGGGCAGTATTAAAAAGGCAGACTCCTTCCCAGGTATCTAAAAAAGAGGTGATTAAGAGGCACATAACAATGTCATCATCATCGTGCCACTATTTATGCACTTGTGACAGATATTGAGATGTGTGACATTTGCAGGATGGTATTATTGTGTGCATGTTGTTACTATATTTTTGCTGTGAGTGCATTGTTAGTACCTTGATATCAATCTCTGAATACATTTTCCGAAGATCATGCATTACACAGTCAAGATAGAGCTCTCCTGTTCCCAAGATCACATGTTCCCCAGATTCTTCCACCTGGATAATGCACAGATAGAACATAAATATAAGAAAATAAATAGATTAGCAGCTTTATCTAGCTATAGTGACAGAAGCAAGATATAGACACTAAATTAAATTTTCCCAATTTTGGTATCTTTCAGATGCATGGACTTCAAATCCCTGAATTCTCAACAGTAGTCATGCTGAATGAGGAATTTGGGGAACTAAAGTTCTCATATTTATGGGACATGCAGATTATGGAGGGCCTGGATAGATAGATAATTAAATCTTCTTTTTCAACAGCAATATACCTACATTTGAATGATGGATGCTAGATAAAAGAAATACCTTAGTCATTATTTGTTTCTAAGGAAGAAATCCTGACAACAGCCCAGAATCTTGTACTAAGAAATGGCTATTAGTGACTGGTCATATGAATTTTAAAAAGAGACTTAATATATAAAAACATGTCAAATATTAAAGACCCATTACTAAATTTCAGAGAACCAGTTGCTATTGCTGCACACAAAGCATGTCCTAGCATTCTGACTTTCAGTACAATGACTGTGTCCAGTGGAAATGTATCAAAAACAATGCCCCAAGACTTTTCTTTGCCACAGGCTTCCCACTGAAACTTCTTATTGAAGCATTTTCCTGCCTAAGTAGGGGGTTGGACTAGAAGATGTCCAAGGTTCCTTCCAACTGTTATTCTATTCATACTCCAAAACTAAGTCAATTTAACTATTATCAAAATTAGTTTTCCAATTATTAACATTTCTTCATTGGGACAAGAATTTAAATCTCAGGATACAGACAGTCCTTAATGATGATAATTAGGGCCATAATTTCTGCACTGCTTAACAGTAACAATCCCAGCAGTGACCTATTGCTGTTTTCAAGTGAAAATTGCTAAATGGGGGCCTCATATGCAACTTGTGATTTGCAATTTTCTGCCAGCTTCCCAAAAGCAAAGTAAATGGGAAATCTGATACGAAGCTACAAGTATCAGATGACTCACAAGCAGGTTGGAGGGTGGGTGAGTATTAGGGAGTGAGATGGCGGATGCTCTACGAGTGCATGCAAGCTGGAGAAAGAATGCCAAGTCACTGTACAAATGAGTATGGACGGGGCTAGAGAGGAGATGCTGTGGTATGTGCATTATAGAGTACAAGATCCCAGGGACCACATATTCTGTAGGGGGTTCCATAGGAGAAAAAGCAGCAGGAGAAACTTGCAACCTTCCTTTCAGTTTCCCCATTCCTTTTGCTTGTGGAAAGCCTACAAATGATTATCAGGTGACTATGGAGTGCTGCAACCATTGTGAGAGCTGGTTGCCAAGCCCACATGACCTTTGTTGTAGTGTAATGACCAGAACTTTGAGGACCAATGGTAAATTCAACTTGTTAGATGCTGTTGCAACTTCAAGTAGTTGCAGAACAAGTGGTTATTAATTGACAACCATCTGTTTAGCTAGTAAATGTTACAATCTGTTGGAGTTTTTTTTAGTTTCCCATTTACTATTTTCAAACCTCTATCAACTTTCTGAACTGAATACGCACCTTGGTGGTGAGAGAGGGATAGCTTTTATTGACTTTCCGCAGGCCATCCAACATTTTGGGCAGCTCAGATGGATTTACGGGCTCCACAGCTATTTTGATCACAGATGTGGTGTTGAACTTCAAGGGACGGAATATCTGAGCCTGAACAAAACAGGTAATTATGATAATTCATCACATTTGCATTCCTCCGAGAGCTCTGATGGTAGATATTGACCTCTTTCCCACAAATTCTCCAAAATCATTGTGTATTTTTTATTATTGTAAGAACATGGAAACTTGGGCCTTCAAATAACATGAGACTACACCCACTACTATATCCATTGGTCTCATGTATTTGGACGCCAAGGCTTCTTCCCACTGTGTTCTAGGATGTATGAAACCCCTAGCAGATTTTTTTATCTTATAGGCCACCTATTACACATAAAGATTTTCACAACAATGTATAAAAATATATCAAAATAAAAATAGAACAAGTCCTTCCCCCAAGGTACCAGATTTTCTGATTCAATCCCATTCTAAAACATTTCAGAGAAGAACCAGGTGTTTACAACCTTGCAGAAGATTTAAAAAATAGGGTTATGGTTAGTTACAGGGCCTGGGTGACTTCAAGCAGTTCAAAGACAAAATGATGCTTAGTTCTAGGTTGGTTGCCACAGAACGTGAAATTGATTCATCATAATGGCACAGTGTCAAAGTTTTAAATTACAATAAGGACTTGGAAGAGCAATTATCATACTAATGTTGCTCCTAGCGCTGAAGATAAATGCAGTGCCATAAGTACCCTAACAAATCTAGGAACTTGGCTAAGGAGCCAAGATTACAGATATGAAGGTTTGGAAAAATATTTAAAAAAACCTCCACCCCTCCCCCAACTGCTTCAACATTTTTAGAACTTCTGTCAAGAACAGAACTTTGAGAAGAAAAAGACTTGTGAATTTCATCTTATGGTTCAGTGTTCCATTCAAAATAGTTAAAAACTATTCAAAATAGGGTTTTTTACCCATGCTTTCCACAAAAACAGCTTTTCCAAAGCGGGAGAGCTTCAATACCAGAATGAAAGGTAATAAACATTGGAGCCAATTATAGCTGGAGGAAATGGGAAATGACCATGGAGCTAATCAAAAATATTAGGCAGTGCTAATCTATTACTTTGAAAGATAGATAAATATACTATATTTTTTTCTGTTTATATCTGAACCAGCTAACAAAATTATTTACTAATATCTTGCTTTGCTTAATATACAAAACACACACCAAAGTTGATAGTTTATCACACTAAACTAAAAAAAGAGGCAAATGGATATCAGGAACTTTGTTCTTCTCACTATCTATGAGAACAACTTTATATTACTTCAATACCTCTTCATTGCCTCTGGGCTCAGTGACAGTGGCTGTCTTCACAATAGGCTGGTCTACTCCTTCAATAAGCACCCAGTTACCAGCTGGCACTCTATTAACTTCTATATGGTACCTGAAAGAAGACATAAATTAATACATCTCCAGTATTCATTGATTCATAAGTACATGGATATTCTAGCAGATTTTCTTTGACTAGAAATTCCAAACTCTCTTAAAAGGGCTAACAAGATCATTACACAAATTATGTGACTTAAAAAACCCGGCATGTGAAATCTTGAAAAAATAGATTGTTTTAAGTAAATAATTGTCATAACTGTATCATTCTTGGTCCTCCATGTCAGGCTCCCAGAACATTCAGGAAAAAGCTGATGGACACCTTGTTACTCAAGGGGGAAAAACCTTGAATATAATAGGTAATATTGAAGAGCATCTAAAGCTGTGTTGGTATAGGTCAGGTAACACCCTGAAAAATATAACTAAACTTTCATTCAAAAGCAATTTTCTTCTTTTAAGAAGTGAAAAGGTTCAATTGACTGAAAGAAGGAACAGAGGAGGATGCTCAGCACAAGGTTGGGATTAATCAAATACCATTATGGACCCACTCAAATCCTCAATCACCATTGGAAAGCTTGATCATTCATTCATTCATTCATTCATTCTTCCATCCATCCACCCACCCACCCACCCACTATGAAATTACCACCCATCTCATCTAAGTTACTGTAGGCAGTTTACTAGTGCATAGCAATAATATAATAAATTCTAATGTGGGATACAAATAAATAAATAAATAAAACATTTCTAAGAATCATTTACCTTGCTACAGAGATCCAAAGGCGTCCCACAGTGCAAATCTGTGAATCTTCTTCATCTTCTAGAGTGTAGTTTTCACCAAGGACCTTGACAGGTTGCTCTGCATGGATGGTTCCACTTAACACCCTACCAAATGCATGGAATTGGACCCCATCGTCTGTACTATACATTTTTGTGGTGTGGCACATAAGTGGACCCTTTCAAAAGAATTTTTATTTTTGGTAAAAATCACCCTTTAATTTACCATATATAATTTCTTTAAATATCATCATCACAATAATAATTATACAAATCTTGAAACCAGTAGTCTCAGTGACATTCTGATTTACTGAATCCCAAGGCTGCAGCTGAGAAATTTTGAATGGCCAATGCTTATTATCAAGGCTGGTATAGCATATTTATCTTATAGGATTGAAGGAACCATCATAGGATTTATGAAAGAATTGAAGGAACCATCATAGGATTTATGAAAGAAGTCTAGAAATCCTGTAAGTCTGGTGGGAATGCCCCAGTGGTTCACAAGATGAGCCTTACATTAATGTTGGGGATTTTGCTTCATTTTTTAAATATAAATATATTTGTGTCTTGCGACAGTTGTACTTTTCTTTAGGGATGGAGTTTAAAAAAATCCCCGGGCATATGCCTGTTGCAGATGGTTAGCTTTCATCCTTCCTAGCAAAGCATAGCCTTATTCACTCTTCAACAATCTGTGCATTCTGATTCTCTTTATTCATCACTAGAACAAGATGTGACTAAAATTTGCTACCCTACATAATTTTTATACAGACTCCATGTTTCTGAGAGAAATAACATGCTACGCCTGAAACTAAGGCATTTAAAATGGACTATCATAAGTCAGTCATCTCTTCTCAACTGGTCCCTTACTCCTCTGATCCATTAGCAAAAGGATGAGATAGAAAATGCTGTTTGATAATTTTCAGCACCTACAAAGCTTTGTACTACAAATTTTTGTACCCATTCCCCAGAAAACTGATTTCCAAATTGTAGATGCAGGTTATATACAATTTAAAACACTATACTTTAAAGAGCAATGAATTAAAGGCTATTTCATCAGATGAGATTCAGCAATGCTATTATATAACCGCAAACATTTTACATAATTTGCATTGGAATAAAAAATTGCTAAAGTGAAACAAGCAACTTACACATTTGTAAGTTTGAGAAAGGCAATGCTCCAGTTTAATACCTGCTCCTCTTTTCTTCTATGTTATTTCTATATTTCTTCTTTTATTTAGTAACAATAACATAAAATGTACTAAAATACAATAAAATGCTACTCAAACAAAATTGCACAAACCAATCTGATGCCAAATACAAACAAGGAAGAGTAAATAAAACTCTTACATCAGGATCACATTCACTCATGGCCTCTCCTAGGTCAGAGTCAACGCCGCCTGTGTAAGTATGCTCAATCTTGGTCTTTGCCCCTATTTTAGGGGAGGGGATGTGTTGCACACACATATCCACAAAACCTAGAACAAGGATAAATGAAACAGCAATACATTTGTATTTGGAAAAGGCAGAGATTGACACTTCTGCCTCTTTCTAATTTTCCATTATATTATAGTCACTTTCATGTCCAGAATACCTGCTATATTCAATTGTATTTTTTTTTAATGCAGTAGCATCTGTTCTAGAACAACAACCTAATCTTTTTCTTTATTTAGTCTGAAATTATATTGTAGAAACTTGGAAGGTATCAGTTTAGAAAGATGTTTAGGATGAGCTGATATATATATATATATCTGAGGATACATCTCATTTCATGCCAGTCCATGATTTTCTACATGATTTTCTGACAAGATTCATCTTCAGATTCTTTGATTAGAACAGAAAAAAACCTTCCTTATAGTGAACACTTTTATCTTTTCCCAATGATGGAATGCTATTTTGTACAGCTGAGTGCATTCTTGGCACCTGACAAACTAAATTGTGTTTACCTGAGCATTGTCCCTTATGTATACTTTTAAGATTAAAAGATTTTATCTGCTGTAGTGTTGCATTTTAATGAATCATAAATAACATAAGAATTCTAAACAGAATGATAATAAATGAAGATTCATAGTTAAAGAAATAAAAACATTAGGGTAGCCTACTAAAATAGAAATGAAGAGGATTCAATATATACAAGAGAACTAACACTTTGCAGCATATATAAACTGTCTTGCAATATACTGTATGCATAGCATTTCAACTTTAAAGAAACAATGGAATAGTTTTCATTGCAATCCATATTAGGTTAATCACTCTGCAGTGATTAGACGTTTAGCACTTGCACGGTTCCTTTTAATGTTCTGATTTGTGTGTTATTTTTAGTCTTTTAAAATATTTTGAAAACCATCTTGTATACTGAAAAGAACCTAATAAATCTTCCAATATATAAACGAACATAAGCAGTATGTTATTACTCTGAGGCCCACTCTAATAACAATTCTTTTAATCTATAAAGGGTACAGTAATAAGCAGAGAATACAACTGAGACATCCAGGATAATACATTTAAATTTTATAATACTTTAATGCTGTCTTTTCTTTTAAGTTCAGGTTTATGTACCAAGCATGTTATCCTTGTCAGACTAGGCTGAGAGAAAGTGATTGGCCCAAGAGCACTTAATTTGCTAAAAATACTGTGTATCATCAGGGATGCCCTTCTTTCTCCTGAAAAAAAATAAAGTAGCTTATTCAGGAACATCTGTGCGGTAAAATAAGTCTTGTTTCATTTCTCTTCATCTTGTTCCTTTGAGCTTTCATTCATAAAGTTTTGTGTTAGCTTGAGGCAAGTCAAAGATGCTCTCTATCACTTAACATTGAATAATTATTGCAACACATGTTTAACTATCCTTACCCTGGGAAGATTTAGGGAGTTAGGAAAAGTATAATTATTTTCACCTGTGAACTCTCCAAAGAATTTCTTGCACACAAGCCTCAAGAGGGGGCGGATGTTTAATTTCAACTCTTCCTTGGTCAGATGAATTCCAAGTTCATCCAAAGTTCGAGGCAAGGTGGTATCTACATCTCCAACTACCTGTGCAAAATGGATGTAGGACAATAAATGAAAGATGCAAGTAGTGAAGATTATATTCATTGGAAGGAGTGACTACGTGATTTACACTGACAATACAAATATGATCCACATAATACAATGCTTCCTCCCTTCTTGTTTCTGCCACTTTATTTTCTAAACTAAGGACCAATAAACAATTATAGACTGAAGGGGCTCTGTTGTTCCAGCAAACCTATTAATTTAGAGATGATAACTGATGAACAAAGTCCTCTAAACAGTACCTGATTACACCACTTACTGTTTAGATAATTCATTTTTAATTCATAAGTAAAACCCAAGCAAGTAGACCCAGGACAAATTTTGAAAAAATGGTACTGAACCTCCAAGATTCATGTAAAAGTCTTGTTTCTAATTAATAAGAAAATCTCATCTTTATGTTTAAATATTTTTATGTAAAGAAAATGATACATATTTTAAAAGTTATGAATGAAATACTGTATTTTTCACACTATAAGACTCTCCAGATCACAAGACCTACCATTGGGGAGGAAAACAAGAAAAAAAAATCTGCCTCCGCCTCCCAGCAATTTGCCTCCTTGCAGCAAACAGCAAGATCAGCTTCAGCACAGGCTGATTTAGTATGAGCAGCTGATTGGCAGTTGGATCTGTCTCCCAGAATATGGCTCATTAGCTGTTCCAGGCTTCAGGGATTGCAGCCACCTATTGCTGCTGCCTGCAACAAGCCAAAGATGGGACATGCATAGGCCGAAAAAGGGACGCGTAGAGGTGGCGATAATCCCCGCAGCCTGGAACAGCTGATTGGCAACATTCCGGGAAGCTGATCCATCTACCAATCAGCTACTTGTGCTAAATCAGGCTATGCTGAAATTGACCAGGCTGCTTGCTATTTGCTGCAAGGAGGCAAATTGCTGGTGGCAGAGGCTGAAGGGTTGGGATGGGAGGGGCTTTGGCAACATTCGTTCTATAAGACACACAGACATTTCCACCCACTTTTTTGGGGGGGGAGGGGGTGTCTTATAGACTGAAAAATACGGTAATTAATGTGCATCTCCAGTTTGCTTTGCTGTATACATTTCTGGATTCAATGCATATATTCTGTTTAAAAAATCAGTGATATATTTTTTCTGACTGCTGACTGAATATCTATAACTAAGCACCAGAAAGATAAACATATGTAACTGGAGCTCTGGTTTCAGAACATTTGGCACACTGCCATAGAAGAGAAACTGCCTTACATTCTTTGCTTCATGCTTGTCAAGCTTTCTTTAATATATGATCTGATTTTACTCTTTATGTTGATCAAGGGAACTGTGACTAATTTATGTCACAGTGATCTGTTCTTTTTCTTTTTTACCTCCTTGCAGAGAAATTGGAAAGGAATGGATTACAAGAGAATAAACAATCACACAATGGGGACTATACATAAGAAGCAATGCACTTGCACAGGTAGCTCTTGCACACTCTGATTTCAGCTAGTAAGCATGGTCTCAGTCAATTCAACAAGTTGTCATATTCAATCATGGCTGCTTTTATATAAATATAAAATTTTTGAATAAACCAAGAAAAGCAATTTTGTATCTGAGATAAAGTAAAGGGACAAAAGCATCTAAAATAAATGAAGGGATGTAAATTTGTTTACACTACTTGTATACCAAAATCCTCTTTAGAGGGTCAGCTCTGGCTATCCTTCCTGCTAAAATGCAATATGTGGCTAACCAGGTGTAGGTCTTTTCAGTAGTGGTCTTCTGATCCAGTAAAGTCAACCCAACTGAGGTACACCCAACATTATCTTCATTGGCTTGTCTGTGTTTGTTAAAGGCTCTTTATTTATCCCAGGCATTTTAAAGGTCCTGCTGTGCATATTTTTAATCCTGTAATATTTTTTAAAAAAATTCTAGTTTTTGCTGTTACTGCTTTATCAGGCATGCTTTTGTCAACAATTTTAACTCTTTGTTGAAAGTACCTTCTACTTGAACAATTTTTATTTGGCTATAAATTGCTTTAAAATAAAAATATATCAAAAGAAACAATCTTTATTTTAACTTCCTCTTCTACTTAGATTGATGCATTCTCTCAAATTTGTTTGCTACATTGTAGGTTGTCTTTTCTGCTGTTATAGAACAATCCTCCCTCAGAACATTTAATTATTTGTTCTATTATAAAGCTTTTTCTATCTCTTCCTGGGCTGATTTAATTCAATGGTTTATCTCTCACTATAGGAAGCAACATTAGTTTCTGAACTAAGGAAGAAAAACATTTTATTTTTTTGAAGTTTATGCAAACAGGATAGATGTCAGATAAAGAATCCTAGAGCTAAAAGAGCTTTTGGAAATCTACTCTCTAGATATAAGCAGACAACTGCTGACAGATGGCTGTCATATTGTTGCTTAAATACATGTAGCAAAGTAAAGTATATAACTGCTTGAGGCAAATACCCCAAATGTTTTATTCTTAGAAATGGGTTTTTTCTGCTCATCCTTCTTCTTGAAATGACATGATTCTCATATTGTAAAAATAGCTTACATTTCCAATATTCCCAAAGAAAACATGAATACGTTTTCCAGAGTTAAAAACATACCTGGGCCAGTATTTTGTAAAGAGGCTCAAGAACAAATTCCACAAAGCTTCGCTGGGAACTACTTGTTGGTGCTTTTTTAGTGAATTTTCTCCTAGAAAGTACAAAATTATACATAACTGAACATGCATGAAAAATTCTATTCTGGTGTTGTACCAAGATGCTTAGGAACACTGTAGCCATGTATCAAACTGTAGAAAAAACTCAGAAATATTCTCATTTTATTTTCCCAGCCATATCAATCAGAGTAATAGTTACAATTGTTTAGTTTGGCACAGCAATCAAACAGGTATAGACATATGACTGCAGAAAAAAACAATTGCAATCAGCCTACCTTCCATTGAGGATCTGTATACTGCACAAACCAGAAAGAGAAGTATCTACAGATCCCTCACATCCTGGCATAATCTATTTCAACTTCTCCGCTCAGGTTGCCACCATAAAACACAGCATGCCAAGGCACCCAATTTTCCCCCTGTGCCATCACTCTGCTGAACACTTAATTCCCATAGCACTATCTCATTTCTCATCTTCCCTATTATCTTCTCCTATTAGGTTCTTGTGATTTATGTTTTGTAACTTATGGTTAATTATTGTAACTATAATTATGACCTATGACTTGATGTTTATATGTACACTGTGGGCTTATGCACCAGAGATAAATTCTTTGTGTGTCTGATCATACTTGACCAATAACGAATTCAATTTTATTTTCTATTCTAATATTCCACCTCAATTCTGCATGGATGTGCAGTCACAGAGGAGAAAATCCCCTCTCATAGACCAAGATATCCATTCACCCTGTTTACTCACCATGTCAGCAAAAATACCACAAACTATCTCTTGCCAATTGTTTCTATCTTTTGGTGTTGTACCAATATGCTGAGGAACATTCTAGCCATGTCTTAAAGTAACTGGAAAGCAAAACTCAACAATGCCCCCATTTTATTCTCCAATTCAATCTACCAAAAGAAATACATTCTATCATGTCCGTTAAGGATAGCTGACTGACATGGCCCAGATGACAGCCTTTTTGTACTATGGCACCCAGCCTCTAGAATATCATCTCCCAGAGATCAAATTGTCTTGGTCCCTATTGGCCTTGAAGAGGTGGTTTTGCACTCAAGCCTGGGGCACAAGTGTGTAACACAACCCAGTTCTTGGTTCTGTTGATCAATTTTTTTAAAAAAATCTGAGCTTCTATGTTTTATCTTTTTTGTATGTTTTTAATTTTTTAATATTGTTCATTGGGCAATCATATAAATCTAGTAAAATAGATAATAAAAAATAGTTACTCCTTACGTCTTGGGGTTGAAATAGATATCTCCCCACAGTCGCTTAGCAAACTCCTGGTAATTGATGTCTCCTATAACAAGCAGAAAAGTGGAATCTCATTTCAATTCTAACCATCAATGCAATAGCCAATTTCCAGTAGTTTTTCCTCTGTTCCACTCTAATGTAATGAGAAAATGAGCAGAACTTAATGAGGAGCTGCCATGAAAATAGACATGCTGTTGCTTGAGGAGGAAAATTCTGAAGATACTATAGAATCTAAATTCTTCCTTTGAATATCTATTTTGAAATTTCCTCCTCAGTAAGCAATTGGGTAATTTACAAAAAGTTGCAACCCTTCATGATGCATATTACACCAGACCAGTGTTTCTCAGCCAGGGAATTCTGGGAGTTGAATTCCACAGGACTTAAATCGCCAAGGTTGAGAAACACTGCACCAGATCATATTTCGCCCTTCTGGTCTTAATGAAGGAAGCAACCTGGGATTAGAAGCCTGTGTGCTGTCTATATTTTAAAGCATCCCATTTGAATCTTTTTTACTAATGGCCCTTCTCTGTCCATCACAACTTTAGATACAGTATTACTAACTGAAACAGGATTCAGCACACATGTATTACAACTCCAAATATAAGGCTGTTTACTGATTAAAAGCGGGAGACTGAAAATTGGGTGTGAAGTCTGGATGGCAAGTGAAGAAACAAAGTGAGACCCTTTGAGACCACTGAGACCATTTGCACCACTCAGGTGACCCTGATAAATCTCCAGGTGACCTTAACAACTCGCTAAAAGAATGCAAATGAGCAGCTGTCTGCAAGGAGTATAAAGCCTTCCATTTCTCACCATCCAGTCAAAGCTGAAACAACTTCTTGGTAAGAATCAAAATGTCTTCAAACAAAAAGCAGAAAGTCTGGTTGCCTCTTGAAAAATCACCTATGGGACAACCATTACCTGGAAGGATGACTGAGAATCTCCAGACACTGAACAAACTGAGAGGATGTTAAAGTGATTTAATAAATAAGAAAAAAAGAGAGAAGAGTGCAATAAACCAATATACATAGCTGCAGAAGATCAGAATAGTCTAAGAGCTTGTATTTGTATATCCACATATCATGTAAATACATATCATGAATATGTAATGGGTAAATTCCTTACAAGAATACCTAAATGAGGTTATGACAGAGGCAAGACAGAAGTTCTTATTCAATAACAGTTCTTTAGCTCTTAGGTGTTCTTACTTGGGATGCATAGAGTTAAGGGAAAAAAGATAAGAAATAAAGTTACAGACACACAAAGGAAAAATGCTTCAAAAGCTATCTGGAAATTTTAATATACTATTATTTTGTAATCAATTGAACTCCAGTTTGAAAAATTTCCTAAATCTTTGCTCAGCAGCTTTTGGAACTTGTTTTTCACTTCAAAAGATGGACAGATGGACAGCTAGTTAAAAGATTCTTAACAAAATAGCAAGACCTTCTAGTAAATTTTAGTAGAGATGACCCTCTGAGAACATGCTGCCCACTAAGCGATGAACAGAATATCAACACTGTTTCATGGGGAGCACCACTGTGAAGAACGTAGGCCCCAAACTTTAAAATCTACATATGCTAAACTTTTATGACTCTGGGAAAGTATACAAGGATCATTTATTTATTCAAGTAAAGTTTTCCTTAGGAATTATGATTGGAACAGCAGACAAGCCAGATTCCTAACTGCTACTTTCAAGCTATACAGCTCTATCACTGGAAAGCCTCTACCGCTGGACTTGTTTGAGTGTGATGTAACATTTGCAACTGGTAGATCTAAATACATATAGACAATCCATACATCAACACTGAAATAATAACATATAACAAACACTTGGACAAAGAACATATCAATTTTGCATTTGGATTAACCTTTTAGATAAGAGGAGGTCTTAACATAGCTGACAGAGTTATTTTGTCTAATGCTTACCATACATGTCAGCATATATCTTGGCAAAGGAACCCAGTGTGAAACAAATGCTATACTGAGAGCTGGCAAAACAAACATTGCCCAAAAGAGGTGAAAGGATCAGGTTCTCATCTGTGGAATACATGCTGAAAACAAGAAAATATAGTATCAAACAACTTCATCAAGAGAAACAGTAAGATCATAAGATAAGCATGAACCCACATTAAAGCTTTTGCCAAAATCTTTTTGTTTTGAATTAATTAATGTCAAGTTGTTAACTAAAAGTTTTATTCAATGAATCCGAGGTGTAAGAGCACACTTACAGCAATAAGAAGTAAAACTATATGAGCATAAAATGAATTACATTCTAGGTGTAATTTTAAAATCATTTTGTTAAAAAATACGAACCAATTATTTTAAAATGGAATCTTCCCAAATTCAAAATATTTGATGTTTAAGGAAGTCTGATGTTCTGAATTGAGAGCTGTATTTAATGCTGAGGCAGTGGGATTCAAGCATATCTGTTATAAGAAGTGTCATTTCTGTACCTGATTAAGCCATTGACTTCATCCACTATGTGCCGCAGCTTATAATAGGCATCAGTAGGTGGCAGCTTCAGTTCTAATATCAGTCGATCAATCTTGTTAATACACACGGTCACTGCCAATCTTTCCTGTACTGCATGCTTGATTAACCGCTCAGTGTTCAGCATGACCTAAAGTGAGACATAACAGATAAGGGCATCAGGTAAGGCTTGAAGAATAAAACAGTGAATCTTATCTGGTGGAGGAACAGCCTACATAACAAGCATGCTCAACTGTAAGCTTATCTGTTTGATCTATGTATCTATCAATCTAATATAAATATTAAAATAAAAATGTTTATTGCAACAGACAATGACTTTTCACAAAATAAATATCTATACCACATAAAATATCAGCCAATAACAGTTGTTAATTGTAGTGCATTACATTTTATAGTACACTGACACTGAAGCCTATGGAAACACAGAGAAAAAAAGTCAGAAAAAATGCCATTATCAAAAAAAGAAAGCTATTTGTATAACCTTTTCTATTTCTGCACTGGATAATGTTTACCCTTGGATAAAACCTCATGCTTAACAGATTGAACTATCAATTCAAATGACTCAAAAAGAAGATAAGAAACACACTGGGGTATGTAGTCTGTAGTCTTTCCTTGAATATAGATTTTAGAAACCATCTTGAAACTCAAATGCCAGATTGCTTAAAAAATTCCACGTAAATTTTAATAATACAACTCAAATGTTTCCAGCCTTTCTTGTCTCAAGATTCTCTTAGCATCTTAAGTCATTTTTTTACAGTGACCTAAGTCAAAATTGTGAACTACTACATCTCAATCTGAAAGTTTACAATCCTGTGGCACTCTTTATGAGTTCACTGCAATGCCCCAGTATACTGTTATACAGTTTGGAACTGTGAACGTAACCTGTTCCTTTTTCTGATCTGAAAAGATATTTGAAACAATACCTCGCCTTCTCCTTTTCATTTTGTATAATCATTTAGCCTGGAAACATCCTCCTTTCAGAATCTGAGGGGGGAAATTGCTGTTCTTCCTTTCTGTCTAGACAATCTGTATACAGGTAGTCCCTAACATAGAATAGTTCATTTACAACATCAAAGTTCAAAGTTACAAGATGACTGAAAAAAGTGACATGATCATTTTTTATATTTATAACCATTATAGCATTCCCATGATCATATGATCAGTGACCAAAATTCAGATACTTGACATCTGATTCATACTTATGACAGCTGCAATATCCCAGGGTCATATGATCGCCTTTTGTGACCTTCTGACAAGCAAAGGCAATGAGAAAGCCTGATTCACTTCATCAACATGTTACTACCTTAACAATTCACTTAACAACTGCAGCAAAAAAGATGGTAAAATGGGGAAAAACTTACTTAACAAGTATCTCACTTAGCAACAGAAATATTGGGCCAAATTGAGGTTGTAGGTTGAGGACTTCCTGTACTTGTTTATCTGCAATACTGTGTCTTTTTCCAGTGGGGAAGAAAACTAAACTAAGATAATAGACACTCACCCCCTCAGCTGCATCAATGAAAAGTACCACACCATCAGAAATGCGAAGACCTGCTGTGACCTCATCAGAGAAGTTTACATGACCTTTAGGAGTTAAAAAAAAACAACCCAAAAAAACACAATTAAAAAAAACAACAAATCAGTACTTTTCCCTTAGGAAATAACGTTAATTAGAACATGAGAAATCAATCTATTGTGCTTCAAAGTGAAGAATGCCAACACTAGGCAACACTGCTTTTTTGTAACAGTCCCATTGCTTTGGAATGGCCTCCTACTAGAAATCAATCTCACCTTTTTCTTTAAAATTATTTTAGGAAACTATTAAAAATCAAATTATTTCAGCAAACATATAATCTTGGCAATTTAATTTCTTGAATTATTTTTATTACAACATTGTACTCATTTATTTATTGTAATTTTTGTGTTTTCTATGTAGATGTTTGCCATTTCACTGTAGCCCACTAAGACTTTTTTGGACAAGGCTGATATGAAACCAGTAATTAATTAAATAAATACAGAACTTCAAGAGATGCAGATGTCAAGGACTGCATGCCATTAAGTATAAAAAACTTTGTTATATGCAAATATACCACCGTTTTAAGATTCTATTTTTAAATATAGGGTAAAAATTTATTAGGCCAAATTTCAGTTGTCTTCTAGGTCTCTTGATGATTCATCTTACCAGGTGTATCCATGATATTGAAGAGAAATGATTTGCCCTTGGTGTCTGGAAGGACAGTGGTCACTGGTGTGCTTTTAATCCCAACACCCCTCTGAAATGAAAACAAGATCATGATAGGGATGGAAATAACTCTTTAATTTGAAACTGATGATCACAAATTTAGGATAAAGGATAGCAAGAATCAGCAAAATTCTACATATTTCTAGGAATACTGAACATTCCTAGAATTCTAGGCACTGAACATTAGAGATCTGTTGTATGGTATTTGACAACATGAAATCCCTTGAACACCAAGGTAGATAATATTATGAGAACTTAGAACCTTTCATCTAGATTTTGTATTACCGTATTTTCACCCATATAACCCACGGGTTATATGCGTTTTTACATACACAGCACGCCCCCGCGGGGTATAAAAGTGGGCGGGGTATACAAAAATTTTTTACGCAGATTGACTGCCGTCCAACCCCTCCCCAGCTGGCACAGGCTTTCTCCTCCGTTCCTTCCCCCGATCTCAGCAGTTTCCCTTCTCCCTTACTCATCGCGGGTTATATAAGTGGGCGGGGTATACGGAAAACATTTTACACGATCTTGTAAACCTGCGGGTTATTTGCGTGGGCGGGTTATATGGGTGAAAATACGGTATAGGTAAGAATAAGAATAAATTTCCTAGAATTTCCTTATAGTTATCCATTCCAGGTCAGATCAGATTCCTCTTTCCTAAGAAAAACCAACATAAAAGTAAAGAAAAGAACAACCAAAATAATGTTGAATTACAATATCTTCCTTCCTGGAAAAGCTAAACATTTGGAATTTTTACATTTAAGGAAAAATGAAAGCAGAAGATAAAAATAGAAATGTAGATTTATACACGGAAAGGGAGAAGAGGAAGATGTTTACTTGTAGAATTCATTGTCACAAGGTTCTGTTGAGATAAATGGAACTGCTTTCTTAGGCAATATTAAATGTGGATTGGGATAAGGAACCTACAGGATTTAAGATATTGCTGAAACAAAATTCACATCAGTATTAGTTTGCATAGCTATACTAGAATTAGAATTACTGGGAATTATATTCCAATAACTGAAAACCTACCTGTTCCTTATTCCATACATTAGTTTTAGATTTAGGACCATTAAAGCAATAAGGGTTTTTACAGATACAGGGATAGGTCACTAGAAAAGAAATAGTGAATAAAATTAACATTCTGCCTGAGATAATAGGCTCTTTCTTGTGCCAGAAGTGAAGTAAAACTTATTGTTGTGTGGTTTTATATAGTTTTTAATACTTCAAAACATAGTAGGAATATGATGAAAGAATTAATTCAGGACACTGCAAGATGAAAAGAATCCCAGATACAAAACTTCCAGAAAGGCCATAGTCAGTATATATATATATATATACCTAAATATACTTACTTCTTGCTCAGTGAATAGAATGTCTGTATAGCAAAGCTGAGAAAAAACAGAAATTCAGATTGGATTAATTGAGGCAGAATATTTTCATCCAGATAGTTACGTAATAATGAATATTGCTTCCTTTACTTCTGCTTTTCCAATCTGTCCTCAATAAGACACATAAGAGGTAAGTAGTAGTATAGTCTTTATTGTCATGGTATAAAATAAACACAAAATTGATTTTAACCTCACTGGTGCAAAATTATAGCAGAAAAGAAAAAAAAATAGTCATATGTTTCCACATATGCATGGAGTGATTGTGGTTGAGTTTAGGAGTCTGACAGCCCAAGGATAGAAACTATTTTTAAAACTATTCGTTCGACTGGCTATGCTTTGATGTTTTCTGTCCGATGATAGAAGTGCGAAGAGACATTGACCAAGGTGTGAATCATCTCTGACTATCTTCCTTAGCAATGAGACCTGGCAATGCCATCCAGCAATGTCAGAGGTCAACCAATGGTTACTTGTACTGAATTGATCACTCTCTGTAGTGCCTTTCTGTCCGCAGCAGTTAAACCAGCGTACCATACTATAATGCAATATGTGAGGACACTTTCTATTGTGGACTAATAGAAAGAGTTCATCAGCCATTGTTCCACCTGATTTATCTCAGAGGTCTCTGTTGTTATGTATGTATTATTATTTTTCATTATTTAGATTTATAACCTGCTTTTCCTCCAAAAACTTGAAATATCTTATATGGGGCTCACATTTTATTTTATTCTAACAGTCTTGGGAAGCTGTGCCATATGAGAGAAGGACCCAAAATGACCATCAAATTTCCATGGCAGAAGCTAAACCTAAACCTGTGACTTCCTTGAACAAAAATTCCAAGAAAACTATCTGGATTATAATGAATTATGTAATTGGAAGACTAATCACTTTTATATCCTTATAGTACCATATACCTACTTCCCATAAAAAATGAAATGGTTTCATGGAACTTACATCCTGGTCGTATCGCTTCCTGATCTCAGGATGTGTTTGTTCAATCAGGCAATCCACAAAACAAGTCTAAAGGCATTAGAAACAAATAAATAAATAATGCACCAACTAGTTAAAATACTGTGTTAAGAAGTATAAAGATGTGATTCTTTTAGCTCTTTTTACAATTAGAAACAAGATGGCCCATGTTCTGAGATAACAACTAAATAGGATGGGAGTGGGGAATGTTAAAAAAAGTCAAGATATTATTGAGACAATCATTTTCAATTTTCTTTCTCTGTCTGTTTCTCTCACTCATATACACACACGCATTGTGGACACTCTTGTTCCACATATTTCAGAAATATGTTAAACCTTAAAAATTCTTCAGATTTTTCAATTTAAACATACTGTGTATGTCACTAATGTTAAAAGCTCTCAAATTCCAGAATTATAAGAGTTGGAAGGAGCTATTTAGGCCATCAAATTCAACAATAGAGGAAGCCAGTTTAAAGTATCTACATTGGTTCATCTGTCTAATAAAAATGAGATTTTCTTAGTAAATGGTTCCTGTTTTTACACAAAAAAAGCACCCTTTCATAATGTTCAAAATGTTATAAAAAGCACTATTATTTTTATTAAATTATTTAAAAACATTCGTTTCAAATTATTTTAAAACTTGAAACACCAGATTTAATCGTATGATGATTAATAAAGCTTAGAATGATTTCACATATTCTTTATTACCATATTTATTAATTTATAAAGTAATTTGTTAAATAAACTAGTCGACCCTATGAATGAAGTTTTAAATAGATGCTCACTTTCCCATGATGTAGGTGTCCACAAAGTGTAACATTCCGGATCAGTTCTGAGTTGTCCATCAAATCTGCAAGAAATCTAAAAGAAAAAAATCAGAGAGGAAAAGGTGTTAGTGATTATCATTGCCTAAGGAAAATTTCCTTGCAGATGCACTGGTCTTCCACTTTATCCTTGTCAGAGATGGAAATAATTACAGCCTTATCAATTTTTAAGATACTTTGCAGTTGTGTATTTAAATAGCTTAAATGAATCTCCCAATACTGGAGTGATAAGAATATATTTTACCAAAATCTCTTGACAAAGTGGAAAAGTTCTTCTCATATTAAGATGTACATAGCAATATTATTGCCCTATTGAACTGAGCTGGGAAGAAAGCAAGATGAGTACCTGTATATTTTCTATATCAATATTAATGAAAGGTCAATAAAATTTATCTGTCTCTAATAATTGTAACTTATAATTCATGTTGATTATATTCTGCATTTCCTCATCTCTCTTTCTGATTACTGCCCCTTTGCAGCAAACATTGAGAATAGAGAATAAAAATTACTATAGTTCTGAATGATTACTGGCTAATAAACAAAAAATGAGTACAATACAAAGGGTAGACAATGAATGAGTGAAACGGTGATTACATAAAATAGATTAAGGGGTTGACTTAGAAGAATAGTGCAGAAACATAAGTGTTATATTATGAACTAAGACCTTTAATCAAACTTGCACACTGCATATAAGTTGGGACTACACCTTTCATAACATAATATAAATTAAGATGGATACTATAATAGCTAAAAGTTTTAGGGGCCAATTTGTAAAGAAGTTGTGAAGAAAAGAACAGAGAAGCAAAAACAGTAATAAGGGTTGGAGGGAAAAGAAGAGAGAAAACAAATAAATCCAAAGCTTTACTCACTCCATTTTATATACTGTAATCGGCAATGTTTGCTCCATGAGGGAAAATTTCTTGGTCTTCACTGGTTTAATAATAGGTTCTGTAGGAAAAGAAAGCATTAAAATAATACTGTCTTTAATGGAAAAGCAAGGCATTCCTAAAACATTTATCAATGGGAAAAGATTCAAAAATACATGCCACAAATTTTAAACTAGATTTTTGATTTATGCATGACGGGTAAAAAGGGATTTGTTTTTGTTTAAAAAAGAGGCTGGGAATATTTCCCAAACATCAAATAGTGAATACATTACTATATTCACTATTTGATAGTTAATATATAGTGAATATATATATATATATATATATATAGTGATAGTGAATATATATTTGTCTTAGTTCTTACTGATCTGGCCTAAAATATAGCATGGCAAATCAGTGTCCATATATGTTATTTATGTAATTATCTGAGCTAAATATCTGATAGTACAATCTACAAATATTTTTTGGGACTGCATTGTAGGTTCCTTTCAAATAGAGACGTATCTTTATTTACCAGATGTGCTGTAATCTATCCTGCCTATCCTGATTATTTCCTCATCATGTTAATATAGTTTTCCCCAAACTTAGCAACTTTTTAAGATATGTGAACTTCAACTCCCAGAATCTCCCCAGCCAACACATTGGCCGAGTTAATTGGAACAGTTTTTTCCCCAACCTTGTGTCAATAGGATATGAACAATTACAACTGTGAGAGCCATTCTGGAGTAGTGCCTAATGTACTGAGCTAGAAATCAAGAGACTATTTGTTGTAGTCCTGCCACAGGCATGAAACCATTGATGACTTTGCACCAGTCACTCTTTCTTAGCCAAACACAATTCACAGGATTTTTGTGGTAGGAAAAATAGTAAGTAACAGCATTAGGCATGTATACTATTTTAGCTAATCAAAAATAAAACTAATAAATAAAATAAGTAAAATATGATCATTCCCAGGCAAGCTAACTAGATTTATAGCACCTCTACAGTAATCCAACAAAACTGAAGGCTTGGAGAAGAGTGTAGCAAGTTGAGCAAAAAGTCTTAAATTTAAATTTCTTACCTGTAAGAGGCTGTGTATCTTCTTCCTGCACTATAGTTTCTACTTCAGGACCATACACCTCCTCAGCTGTTGGATAATATTTCTTATCCTCATGTAACACTACATCCATCCCAGGGTGATCATCATCATGGTCTCCCATATCATCGTCATCATCATCATCATCAGGCTGAAACCAAAATAAATTACCCTCAGCCAACTATTAGCAATAGAGTTCCACTTACAGAATTTAGAGCTGATATCTACATTCAATTATAACTTGCAAACATATGTGCATATTGTATATTTTGTAAAATGGTGCCAAACAATAAAGTAGCATGTGGCAGCTACTCTTAAAATTAAGGCTAACATTTTTCTCAGGAACAAGATTAACATCTTAATCGTTAATCTGTTCATTACAGAAACTGAATCACAGAAGCCTGTAAAAAAACTAAAGGATGATCTTAAACATGAATGTTGTTTGTAGCACAAGCATGAGATCAGTACCTCATCAAGATCTTTTGACTCACGACCCATTTCATCATCATCATCATCATCATCAAGCTCCGGACCAATATAATTTCCAAATTCATCATATAAGTCAGTATCCATGTTGCTGAGTCTTGAATATAAAAATAAATAATTAAAATAGAACTAGTTTGTATTCCCAAAATATCACTTTAATATTTGATTGCTTTGCTAGTTATTTAGTGTGCCTTACCCCTGCTTGCAAGATTCATATTGGGATACTTTTCAATTTATCTTAACACCTTAGTTTTACTGCAAGCTTGATACTTTATCTGCATTTACTACTACTCTAAATAGCTTATTCCTTGTTTTTAGTTTCACATTTTATTTTCAGCACAACAGCTATAAGCTACCAATTCAGTAGCCTTTGCCAGTATTAATCCAAGAGCTATTTTTTATTCATCAACCTTCCATGATTGTCCTTAGTTTTAATTATCAGGTATAATTTCTCCAACTCCTTTTTAGCCACAATTACCATCATATCACATTACTCATCTTATTCAGGATAAGAATAATTATTCTTATAAATCAGTTGTTCTAATTCAACAGTGACTTTTTCAGAAACTTCCAATTTTAAAATATGATAGCTTTCTGTTATAGGTTAAAAGAAAAAAGAAAAGGCAACAAAAATAGCATCTTATCAGAAATGCATCTTTATACCTGTAGCTTTATTTTCCACAAACCTAATCTATCTGAATGCAAGCATATAGTTTTCTTGTTGAGTCTTTTTTTACTTCAGAGGAAGACTATGTATATATTAATCTCTTTCATGCCTCAATTAATAAGGCATGTATGTTTCAATTAAAGATTGTATAAGATGTGTAGACATGTATTCTCTACCATTTGAAAGTGCAATCTTGTTTTTAAAAATGCCTAAATCTGTCTTCCCATTAGCTTCCATATCTCTCAAATCTCTCTACCCGTTGCCATATTACCCTCTTATTCGAATTCCAGCACTTTCGTTCAAAGAACAAATCGCGTACTTTAAAACTACTGAGAGATACTGTGGAACGGCCGTTTACTGGTTTTAAAAATAAGCATTTTAAAAAAGATATCGTAAGGCTTTACAAGAAATCATAACGCACGCGTGTGATTACCTTTTTTGTTCTCCTTCTCAGGAAGCGCGCGTTACTCGAGACGTTTCCCTTGCCGGCGCACGATGCGACCGTGGCACAAAAAGCCCCTTCATTTTCCTCCGGATAAAGTTGTCCATTTAGCAGCCTGATTGGTTTTCCACGTTTTTCTCCTATGTTTGATGCTGGAGAGTGAGAGGGATTTATAGATTCGATTTCGATTCTTTTCGGGCCGTCTCAGCAAAATTGAAATTTTTGATAAGCATGGACTGTGATTAGGCGTTTATGATAGACTGTCCCGATCTCTATAGGTCCATCTCGCCATTTCGTTTTCCAGTTGCTATGGAAACCGAATCGACGCTTAAATACTATTGAAAGGGGAGGGCTAGGCCGGATTAAAAAAAAACAACAACAACCGAACTACGTTTCCACAAACGTGGAAAAAATCTTCCCTTCCTTCTATTTGGTAACGGCCAGGTTAGCGAGAGAAATCGAGAACAGTTTTTTGGGTGCTGGGTATGCATGGGATGGTAAAGTAAAACATAAACCTGTAAAACCCGTCGCCACTCGAATATTGAGTGGCCAAAAGAGTATTAATTCGGGCAGGCTTGTTTACTGTTTTCTGGGAGAGTTGCTGATTATATTCTTGCTTGCCTACTTACTATTTTATATTGATGTACTTCCTTTCCGTTAGTGCCTGATCCAGGCAGACACCAAGACTTGATTGGAAGGGGGGGGGGGGGATGACCCATAAGAAGGGTACATTCAATAGCAAATTCCTTATATGTCAGAATCTACTTGCAAGGATATAATGGTTGAATTGACATGTATGTATATATATGTGTATGTATGTATGTGTTTTCATAGATTTTCACGGGTACAGGTATGCAAGTCTTGGCGTATTCGGGTATTTTCTTGTGTAAGATTGAGAGTATCTTTTGGCAAGCAAAAAAAAAAGCACAAACAGGAAGCCAAAGGCACCAGCCTGAAGATGGCAAGTGGGACCTTGTCAAAACGTCGCCAAAAGATACTCTCAATCTTACACGGGAAAAGACCCGAATACGCCAAGACCTGTGTGTGTGTGTGTGTGTGTGTGTGTGTGTGTGTGTGTGTGTATCTATATATCTATATATGTCAGTTTATTTTTACTGATTTTGCTGAATAAATTCACTAACCACAGAATGATGAGGATGGGGTGTGTGTGTTGTATTATATTTATTAGAGAACATAAAATGCAATCACTGCAACATTTCATTTATTTTCACATTACCATGTTGGAGAATGATACTTTCCTCCCCGCACCATCGACTATTTTCTCCCTTTCCTCCCCGCACCATCGACTATTTTAAATCACACTTGCGCAGTGCTCCGCAAATTTTAGGAATGTGGTGTGAATGGTGTGCCTGGTTGATGTCTGTACCCACTTTTTTAACTTCATTATTGTTGTATTTTTTGTGTTTTAGTTGACTTACGTGGGGAATGCATGGATGAGCAGCTGTGTATGCATGAGAGGATTGGGAGGACAGCC